TTTTTTTTTTTTTTTTTTGGTTTTTCGTTCGATGTCCAATATCCCTATTGGAACCCGACTATATTCAAATTCGCGCTGCGTAAGGCCTCATTCGGGGGGAAGTGCTCCCTACCAAAATATTTTTCATACCCAGGGCTCGAACCCGAGGCCTTTAATTAAGAGAAGATAAGTCTCATTCACTGCACTACATCCTTTTGTGGTGACAAGGAAAATTTCACTATACTACTTTGAGCGCACGATAAAAATCATTTTTCATGAAAATCATTTGGAAAAGTTATTTTTAAAGATTAGTGCTAGTAATTTTGGTGTAAACATCGAGGACATGTAGATCAGCTTCTCCCAAATTCCTTTTGTCTGGTGTGTGTGAAAGAGGAGAGTGTGTGTGTGAGTGATTGAAAACTGATATTAGCAAATCTGTCAATATATTAAAACAAATTTAACCACATATAAAAGGGTATGCAGTAAGTCATTTAGCATGTGCATCTATTTATTTCTAATTGGGTTGGAAAAAGGCTAGACTATGTATATAAGGACAATTTACCAAATTACCTATGAGCTAGCAGTTTGGTTTGGTAGGTATATAGTTCATTGAACATGAGGGTATTAGATATAGTAGCGGTCCATGCATGCAGTTGCCGGAAAATTATACGGTACATATAAGGTAAAATCAAGTTTTTATCAAGTTTAATCCCTTTGATATTGCCGGAAAGTATAACTTAATGGTCAAAGGGGTTTAAAATCTTTGTTAGGTTGCTGATTCAATTCGCACTTGTCATTGTCTCTTTAAATTTTTTTAACCTTTTCCTTTTTTGAACCCCCTTAGCAGAAATTTTGCCTCCGCCACTGAAATTGCAAAAGTGGAAATAGGGTTTAGGTTACCGTCAAACTTATTGTACTTTGGTCTAAATCTTGTATTCGTCTTGAAAAATCAAAACATTACATGTCAACCTTGAAATAGGATGGTGTCGAACTGCATCACATAAATTGGCATGAAGGGAGTACTATTAATTTAATTTAGAATTCAACAAGTTAAAAGAATTAAAATCCCAATCCCGTAAATTTGAAATGTTGGCTTTACCTCTGCCTGAATAAGTAGTCAAAGAGTCTGCAACGCATTTCTATTTTTCACATATTTTAAACTTTTAACCTTAAAATCTTAAAAATGAAAAAATCGAAAAAAATAATCCTTTAAAGTATGACCAAGAAAGTCTTTTTTGTGGAAATAACCTTAGAATTTTTTGGAGTTTGGGAATATACTCGAATTTCCCTACTTAAGTTATTTCTCCACATGCTACGTACGGTCTATGATAGCACGGATATATGAACATAAATATCAGCAAGCTAGTACGAATTCAACACGACATAGGAACGGGGGGACTCAAGACGGTAAAAACTTACGTCAAAACATACCAATATACTGTGGTTAAGGAATTGAGTGAGCTCTTGCCTAAGAGGAGAGTTTAATAAAGCCGAGAGGAATTTTTCGACAATAAAAAAGCTTTTCTTCCCAACCGAGGTAATAGACCACCTTATGGCCGATGTGATTACCAGCCAAAGGGCAAAAAGACGGGATTGAATGTGACTCTACCAATATCAATCTCCTGTAGAACAAGAAAAAGCAATTCTGCCCGATATCGGTAATGATTAACATATTTTTTTTTGATAGAGGGGAAACCTTACTTAAGAACAGAGAGTGACAGAGCAAAAAAACAAGGCAAGGGATATATATTACTTTATTGGTATGTTTTGACGTAAGTTTTTACCCTGTCTCGAGTCCCCACTATATATATGAATTAACCATGATAAAGAGTGAGAAGTTTAAGCGCGACCACGTATATTATAACTATTTGGTTGATGTAAAAATTCCATGCGAGTAAGTTTTTACTATTGAGACAACCATGATATGATTTTTTTTAATTTAAGTCTCTGTCCGTTCTATTTATTTAACACGCTTTCTTTATTAGTCTATTCCAAAAAGAATAACATATTTTTATACTTAAAAATAATTTAACTTTAAATTTTTCTGTTTGCCCATCTTATATTTTATTAAATTTCATATCAGAGTCAAACTAAATCATATAAAGTGAAGCAGATTGGGAGCAGTATATGGATAAAATATTCATCAAATACAAACCATGAAGGGGGTAATGCAGTCATTATACTTGATATGTCAAAAGTATATGACAGAATGGATTGGACTTTCCTCCTGGCTCTTACGAGAAACTTGGTTTTTCAGAGAAGTTGATAGACTTGATATGGAGATCAATTGTAAGTGTTTGGTATTCTATTCTAATAAATGGTTCAAAGGAAGGGATCTTTCATTCTACAAGGGGCTCAAAATAAGGTGATTCATTATTACCTGCTGTATGGGTCCAAATATGAACAACCACGACTGTTGATGAGTACGAAGAACGACGAGATTCTTGAAGCTCGACATCTTGCAGGGGACGACCTACATGCGAACAAGAGACTGCACGACTTTTTGCAGCAGTACAGGCCCATTAGGGGACATTAGGAATATTCTTTCGAATATTCCCTATGACTTGTCTTTTAGGGCTTAGAAGGGGTTTATCCCTTATATATATAGCATAAAACAACCTTGTAAGGCCTTAGGCATTTTCCTAACTGATAACACTTGCTTACATAAACGATTGATATGATTATTGTTTAAGGGTTTGTCTTAACGAGATAAAGAAATCTTATCCTCTGCAATCTCTTAGTCTATCTTTTGTTCTAGAGATTAGTATACTTAGCTAAGATTTACCCCCTCATTTTCTTTGATTGATTTATTCAAAAAGGTTCCGATATCTTTTGAGTCAAATAGTTTGGCGCCGTCTGTGGGGATTCCTATAGCTGAGATCTTAGTTTTGTCTAGATTCTTGAAAGAAATAATTACTTCTTTTGAGCCTCACAAAGGCCAACAATGGCCGGAAAGGGAGAAATAAGGCTAAAGACGATAGTAGGTGTCACGAACAACCTCCTGAATTCCCTCAATGAAGCCGGTGGAGAAGACAACGAAAACGCAACTCCAAGTGCTACACCTGAGGGAGAGATCTCACCCCCCCTCCCCCGCACGAGGGCCTAACTGTCTCTCGCGAAAGGGAAACCTCAACATCCGCAGCAGGAGAAGTACCACCGGTCGTGAGAAGGCTATTAGAAGAATGGTTGACAAACACCTTGAGCAATATACTCGAGAAACCCGT